CAATGGGAAAATCACTCTGGATTTCACAGGTTCAGAGCTCTGGGTTTCCCTTCAATATAAACTAGAGCACAGCCTTGTTACAATAATTACACTAATTATTGTGGATTTTTCAATACTATTTTAAAAAATGTATAAGCTTTGATAGAAAATCATATCGGTTACAGTACAAATCTGCGTGTAAGAACCTACACTTTTGAAGTCTATAAAGGAACTTGAGTTTGGTGCCTTTCAGCAAGGTCCATGAAGACAGTTACAATCTGTAGTTTTTATAACCCTGTTTTTGTTCTGGAATTACAAGACTCACAGTGGTACAGTTTGGTACAGTATTTTCTTGTCTTATCAATTTGCAAACTTCAAACTCCTTTTTTAAGAACCTGCTTGATTTCTTTCGTTTTTGGGACTAAAAAGGTTGTTATATATTCAGTATATTTGTGAGTATTAGGATAGCAAATTTCTGCCAGAAAGTTCTTAAACCACTAGATTCTTGCATGCAGGTATTTTCTGAATGATAATCTTCCCAATCTTGTACTTCTTACAACTATTCCTGCTACTGCCAGAAAATAGGTAACCCTCTGCAACATGTACATTGGAAACACTAGAAAATATTTCTTAGAAACGAGAAAAAATAATGTTGGGTTTACAGGCTGATCCAACGTGTTAACGCGCTTATGAGACCGCCAATACCGTTAGTACTGTGTATTCCTGAACTATAAAAAGTCAAAAGGCTGACTAACTTATACATATAATAATTATATAGATGAAAATGAAATGAAACTTTAGTATTCAGAACAATGGATTGATGAGTGAAATAAAACAGCCGAATAAAAATTGGATAAATGACCATAATTTCAATAAAGATTTAACATTTAAAATAATGGAAAAAAGAAATATCGCAAAACAAATGTCCCTTTCAATTGTCAACAACCCTAACTACTAGGTTCAAGTATCCTTTGCCGTGACTCATCGAGTAGTCTTGGTCGACACATCTTGCCTGGTCGAGTCGTCCTCGTCGAGTCATCTCGTTGAGTCGTCCTCGTCGAGTCAACTTCACCGAGTCATCCTCGTCGAGTCATCGCCTCGTCGAGTCGTCCTCGTCGAGTCAACCGTGTCTCACCGAGTCATCCTCGCAGAGTCATCGATTCCTCGTCGAGTCTTGGAGTGAAAATCGAGTCGTCCTCGTCGAGTGTTGAAGTACCGCTTGAAAATTCGAGGATCTATTTATTTATTTTTGAGCGTCGGTAGAAAGATGACTCCGCTCCCAGAAACGGTGAGTGATCCTTATACCTGCCAAAGCTTGTGGGTTGCAGGACGACGTGATTCTACTGTGTTTGGCGTCGTCGACGACACCACGACGACGAAATTTGCTAATCGCCCTTGCGCAGTGCACGGTATCTCACTTCCGGTCGTCGTCGACAAAGTCGTCGTCGTGGTTCTTAAGTTCCCTATTGCCTTTGTGTTGGGCCTAGGGTTGTTGTTTGTGCCGTTATCACAGCCAATTGTGTGAACCGTTCAGTGAGGTGCTGTTTGACCAACGGAATGGGCTATCCGAGTGAAGAAAAAATGGTTTATTTTTAAATAAACACGTACAATAAGAATTTAAAAAAATGTAATGATAAATTCTCCAAAAGTGAGTCTTCAATTTTAACTCGATATAACCTTGGCAATTCTTACTAGTCCTGGATTTTAAAGCATAACTGAATGCGTCTTGTATGATCTCTTGCAGTTGGCTATAGCAGCAAACGACTGTCCTCCCCTACAATACTACAATGGTACATCATGTACAACTTGCTCTAAATGTCCTCGAGGCTTCGGGGTTAAGACCAAGTGTACAGCTCTGAAGGACACAGAGTGTCAAGACTGTATTGCTGGGTATGATTATTCAGGGACAAGTGACATGACACAGTGTATCAAGTAAGTTAACTCAAGCAATAGATACAATAAGATTGATGGCGCGTTTTCCTCATTATGTTGTTTGTTTGATTTATGATGCTGAGGAGAAAGCCGATGAGGGTTTACACAAATAGTCACAGATAGAAATCTCACAGATAGTTACAATCATCTAAGCATTCCTTAACTTCGTCCCCCCCCCCCAAAAAAAAAAAAATGGAGCCTTTTAACACCAGGGTCTTTCTTTGTTTCACAGATGTTACGACGGTTCAAATTGTCCCGATGGAAATCATAAGGTGATAAGTAACTGTACAATATATTCCCCAACCGTCTGCAGTGGTTGTAAAGAGGGAAACTATTTTGACAAGGGCACAGGATTAGACGGGGGATGTGTGGAGTGTTCAAAATGCGCCATTGACGAAATGGAGACACAAAAGTGTAGCACAGCGCATGACCGAAAGTGCCAAAAGATGCCATCGACTACGAGCGAATTATGGGTCCCAAGTAAGTATAATACACAAACAAACGAAATTGGCATAGTCTCTCCCTTTTCTTTCAGTCTTTGCCCACTCTCTTAGTCCACTCGCACTCGAGCTGATATTTTAAAACCCACGCTCGATCGGACACTTCTAGCTTCGCAGATCACTAAAATGTAAACAAAATCCTCAATGTAGAAGTTTTGGCGTTGATATGTGGGCAGAAAAAAAGTTAATCTTTATCTAGTAAATCTTCCCCAAGATCGGTTTCAAGGCAACCATAGTTTTCTAAAGTTGATCGTTTCGCGCAGATTAATTTTGCTTTGTGTTGTCAAGTTGAACATGCATAACACCTGTTAAAAACCTACGCGTAAGTAGGATTTCCTTCAAACAAAGTTAAAGTTACATTATTGCAACAACTTCTTTCCAATTATGTATAATATTTAATTACCGATTCAAGTCACTTTAAGGACCATAGACGCCACTTTAAGCTGGTAAAGAGATGCGACAAGCAAAGAACAATTCCATCATGCATAAAATTCAGCTTAAGTGAACCAAAAAAAGCTTCAATAAGGTTGCAAAACAACAAATTTTCATTAAAAAAAAACATAAGGCTTAAGGCTCTTATACCTGATGACAAAGAAGAAGTGAATTTTCTGTACGGAAGCAACCTACCCAAAGATCTTAAAAGAAAAAGATCAGTTGCAAGCGTCGCAGCCAAGCCATGATTCCTGCCTACTTAGCTAGATTAGCTACTTTTTTTTAGTAATAACTGGTCAATGCGAGGGTCTTCATTCAAGCAAATTAAACCCAGCAAACTGAATCATTAGAAAATACAGAAAACTGCACATAAGGATTTGTTTTGCTCTCTTCAGTCAAATCCAGCTCCAGCAATTGTTTACGGGAAAAGAGTCGATTGTTTTGGAGTCACTGCCGGCAGTTGTCGTTCTCCGCTACTTCACAGCGAGAGAAAGGAAAATTTGCGCTATACAGAAAGATAACAAAACTATGTACTTAAAACTGAAAAAACTAAAGGAAAAAACTCTGACTACTATTACTTGAGCAAAAGAAAAATTATCGAAGTAGTCTTTTCTGCTGGAGTAAGCTTGCTGGCCTTCTAAAGTTCCGAGGAAGTTTTAAGCGCTCAAGTTTGTTCACTCGCAAGCGTTAGCATTACGGTTCTTTGACATAAGACAAGGATAAAGCTGGTTCTGCAAAGGTAAATAAATCTGGGCATTTAAAAAAGCTAACCGTAACTACTAATAACAGAATACAAGCGGGTTTTAATTCAGTCCGGCGAAAGAAGGCGAAGCACTGGACAAAAAATCAATTCACAAATCGAATGCTCAATTACTGACAATTATCTGACAATTAGAAAAATACAAACCTCTTTGGAAATGTTCAAAACGTTTTGTTCCTCCTCAGACTGACGGATGATCTGCTTTTACTGTAACATTGGTTGTTCTGAATCCAAAGTAATTTTCAAGTGACGAAAAAACAGCAACAACAACAAAAACAAAAAAAAAACCCTTTACAAGGATCAAACGTTCGCACCTCGTGTATTTCATTCAGTCTTAGTCAGAACTCTCACTGAACGAGACAAACAAACGCAGGCGATAGGGGATGCGCAGAAGCTTGCGCAGAACGTTTTTCCGCCCCGAAAGACCAACATTAACGTCACGCAGTCTCCAGTCTATCACGCGGCCATTTCAGAAACGTTTTCGTGAAGTTTTCGGAAATGCTGGGATTTTGATCTTTTATCTTTCTATAAAGGCTTGGGAAGAAAAATCTTTACCCAAATCTCACTTAGGATGGTTCTTTTTAGTGTTTGGTGAAGGTAAAGCGACAAAAGAAAATATGTCAATTTTTTGTTCATTTGACCTTTAAAACGAGGGAAATCTTTTAATCGTGAGAAAAAAGAAAGAGTGTACAAAGGTTTCTGCAGCCAAATTTTGCGATTACAAATGAATTGTTGTAAGGACTGCATGTGTCAACTATACATCTTCTAGGGGCACCCAAAGACTTCTTTCTATAGAATAACCGCGTTGTTTATTTCGAAACATTCGGTCGTTGGATCCTCCTTGATATTCATGTTACTGATCTGTCGGTATCAGGTACGGCTGGTCAAACAAATATCACGAAGACACCGCGGAGCGTTCCCAGTAGCACGACTATTGATTGGACAAAAACCTCCGCAACTGAAATTCCTGAGCCCGAAGAGAGACCCTCAGTGAGCCAAAAATTAGTTTGGGGACTATTATCTGGTGTCCTAGCGGCATTAGTAATCGCTCTCGCTGTTGCGGTGCTATTATGTTGGAATAGAAGTAGAAGTAGAAGAACACGTAAGAAGGACAAAGAATCCAATGGTTACGCTCATCAGTCCACTCCATTAATGCAGCAGCGTAAGTAAATATTTATACTTTTTATAACAGAACATTATAAAAGGTTATATAAATATCTTTTTTTTCTTTTTATCAAGCGTTTAAGGTGGCTGAACGTAGTTTTACGGGCGGTCAGCGGTAACTCGCGTGACGGCGAGTGTTAAAATTAGACAAACAAACATGGCGATAAAAGCAATGGTACACAGAAGACGATTTCTCAAAATCTACTAATTAAAATTTTGTGATATTTGGCAGAAATTTTACCTTTATCGTATTTTAAATAATGAGAACTTTAAAATGGAAGTTGAACAGACGAATTTTGTGACACATTTAATAATTACAGTACAATTATATCATTGATTATCTGAAAACCTGTCTGTTAAAATTTGGTCAAATAAGTTTCAAATGGTAATGATTAATTATAGTAAA